TTAAAAGATTATGAAGTAAAGCCTAATAGTATAAATAATCCAAGTAATTAAATTTATGCAGATACGGGAATTTCGAGCTTAACTTTTATGATTCTTAATAATAAATGTGTATAATAATTGGAAATTTTTATCACGATAGAATCGACTTTAGATTTTTCATGAAAGGGGGTGAGTTTTTCTTTGATTAAATTACGTATTACAGTTATTTTTATTCCATCTGCGTATTTAATTTCTCATGAGAGTAACGTCGAGGAAGCGAATAGTCGCACCAATTACGCACGTCGTGATGTCGAGCTGTCGACAACACTGTTGCAACTATGAGGTCTCGATTACCAGGCAAGAACTGGATCGCTCGATCAAGACAGTTAGCTTGCGGCGATATTATCTCGTTAGCTCGAATTTACGATTAGAAACGCCGCCGTATGTTTTGTATCACCTTACGGGTTTCCCGCCTAGAATCATCGGTCTTGCGACCGCGGGAACGTAGGATCCTGGATCTCGCCGGGTCACAAAAGACATTTTGAATCCGGCACTTCCTCCTCTCGTGCCAACGATCTCAATCGCCATAACGAAGCCAAAGAGCATTAAACGGACACGTTTTCGCAGGGGTTGATTCACGCTGCTCGAACGAACGAGAACCGGATCGCGTGGTCCGAAAACCGGATCGCGTAACGTCTCATTAGCAAAACAGGAAGATGTGGATGAATTCGAGGACACACGAAGGTCTGAGAATCAGAGCGAGTTCTTAGCTGTTCCATCGACGACCGCGATGAACCTAACAAAAGTCGAGGATTCGACCTCAAGAGGTATCTAACACATCGAGTTTCACGTGACATTTCGAGTTTGCGATGTACAAGCGCTCTCGACATCGAATATCATAAATTGTAGATATGCACGAGAGGGAAAATCGCACCTTCGCGGTATAAGATTATCGTAAACATTTGATAGACCACTCATCGGTATAATCTTGGTCGAAGCAAAATCTGCATCGTAATATTCACGATTATATATGATTTCTGCAGAAACCTTTGACTTGTTGGTCTCTCTTAAAAACGATGCGAGTCCAATTTTAAAAATCTTGCAAAAATATATTTTTATTTTATATTCGGTTTCCGTTAAATCTTATTAATTAATTAAACCTTTCTATTTCGTCAGTTTCATTTTCTTTCTTCGAGACGAGAGAAAATGGTTAAAAAAATGTTTTATATATATTCTTATTACATACAATATTCTGTTTCCACGCAATATTAATAAAATTTCGAACGGCACTTCTGCTAGTTAGGAAAGATACAAACGGCAGTACTTTCACAACAACATAGCTGAAATCACGAGACATTGAGACCGGGGTCAAGAGACGTTTCATAATTCCCGAAAGCCGCCGACAGTAACGTATTCTGGGAACTATGCGCGATACTCCTAGGAAGTAAAGCACTAGGAAAGCCGCCCGTACGGTCATCATGAGAAGTGCTAGACGTCGTTGGCCTCGCCGCGCGCATCTAAATTCATTCCTCTCTGTCCGTTCGTATATACGATACATATGTATGCATACATTGACATTGCCGCGACTCGACGGCACGTGCTATAAGCACAGGTGCCGACGTGCGTGCATGCGTGCGCTTGTAAAGCCGAGAAGTCCGTATAGACCTGCGCGAGAGGCCCGTATACGCGAGATGTGGAAAAAGAGCAGACTGACAATGATAATCAAAGGAGTGACCCGAGAGAAACAAGTCGGTAGAGCGCCACTTTGCCGGACCTGTCTTTCGGGTTTCGTCTCGTGCCACATACAGATAGGTCGCACGCGCGCGCACTCACACACACACACACGCACGTGGCTGCGTCATCCGTACTACTAGGTAGAGTACAGGTCACGATACGCCCGATTTCCGGTTAGAGAAATGCCCGATTCCGGTTCCGAAGCCTGAAGCGGTACCGCAAGCCGCGTTCTGGCGCCCGCGCAGGTTGCTCGACAGGGCTTGTGCATGCGTGAGTACGCGTACACACGCACGAGCGACCGTGCGTGTCGCGACCCAGAAGTGACCCCGCGCGACCTGCAGGTTCACGTGTCGGGCCGCCGTCCGGTTCGAGTGCCTTGTCGTCGATAATGCTGCACCGTAAGCACGTAATTGCCTCTTATGCTGCACAGTGCGCAGTTACTGCGCGCAGCGCGCGGCGCGCATTGCGCACGCGGAATCTTCTCTCCGTGGTTAGAGGAAAAGAAAGAAAGAAAAATTCCGCGGCGCGGAATGCTGCGTATAACGCGGCGTAATTTACTCGTTTGCGGCGCGAATGCGCGGGGCACGAGAATTCGTGCGCGCCGCTTATTGACCCCCGAGAAGACCGGGGGATTACGCGCCGCGGATACCGGTGTAATCGGCGAGATTTTCCACGTGCTTGGAAAAAGAATGCGGCCTCCCCCGTTTGTCGTCGGGAACTTGGCGTTTCCCGTCAACGGTAGAAGCGAGGCGACAAAAACGGTCCATGCCAGGTCGGCGTCGGGCAGCAACATCTTGTACCGTTTGTTCCATTCGAAATTCTACGCATATCTAACGGTTAATTTGTGTGCCGAATCATCGCGAGAAGCGGTGATTGATTTTTCTCGAAACGGGGACAGGATGTTAAAAACGACGCAATTATGAAACTTTCAAGTTTTTTTTAACGAAAATGAGTAAGTGTGTGATTTTGCAGAAATCGTAGATTATATAATTGCACGGCGAAGTTGATGTATTTTCTCCGCTAAAACTATTTATCGTTATATAATACGTCTCTAAACGTTTTTCAAGGCTCGACATATCGATAATTCATAGATTTATCACGCTTTTCTATGGTTCAACAGACTTTTATATACATATAAATACTTGCTCATGCATCATGCAGTAGTTTTTTTATTGACATTCTCTCGAGATTTTTCGCACGACAATGCGAATACTTGGACAGTACATGAAACTACATGTTGCATACACATAGGTAACTCTACGAAGCTGGCTCGAAGCGAGCATTGACCTCTCTTTCATTTTACGTCAAACTCCTTTCGTCTCTTCTTGTATGCTTTTTTTCTTCTCCTCTTTTTGTACGACTACTAATATTCGGTACTTAACTCCTCGATGGTTAGAAAGCCGCGAAAAAATACCTCGTTGTTCAACACTCCGTCAATACTGACAGTAAGATTCATCCCGGAGTTTATTATGAATACATTATTTTACTTAAAAGAGTAAATACAATAGATATAAATAAGTTACATTTCTTTTAAAATTTTTTGAGAAACGAGAAACATTAAAAAAAAAATACTTTTTTAATCAACGAAAACTTTTGTCGCAAAAATCTGGTCGAGTCTTGGATGGAGATGTATTGATGACAACCACACAAAACCATCGGGACGATCCCGAGAGCTTAAAGCGCCAATCACACTCGGTTCGCAATCCGATACTTCACACCTACCGATCCCAAATTTCCAGGGGTGCATCATATCGAGTTCCCAAGGTACGCGCACGCGAATCTCGTTTCGCATCGCGCGTTCTCGGATTAGCATCGCATTATCGGGAAACGGTCTCGCGAAAGGCATCGCGGATCCATTTCACGTAAGCCGAATTCATGAGGTCTCGCCGCTATGGCCTCGGGTTATGACAGCACGTTCTCTTTGCTTGTGTCAGGAGAACGCGGTCTCGGCCGCAACCAGGTTTACCCACCGTCTTTTCCCCGTCCGGGGGTCTATCCGCACCTCTTCAGGATGCACAAGTGTGCCGAGGGCGAGACGATAGTCTCTTCCTCTCGGCGTCACCCTTTTCGTCGTATTGCGAGGTAGACGAGAAAGACAGGAACGGGAGAAACGCAGCGCGAGAGAAAAGGAAAGAAGGAGAGAGCGGTAGATGAGAGATCAGGTATCAAGTGTAAAAAAAGGTCATTGTGCGGAAGCATCTGACCGTAGGGTAGGCACCGCGACACGACGTTGCGAAAGGATAGAGCGAAATAGAAGCAAGGGTGTATACTTTTTTAGGGTTAAAAAGAAAAGGAAAGAGAGAGAAGCAGAATCTGGCAAAGGTTGCCAGGACATGCCAGGAAAGACGAGCGAGGGGCGATCCTTCGCCTCGTCGGAAAAGACGAAGAGATGATAAAAAGAAAGAGAGAACGAGGGAAGGATGGCATGCACCGAGAGCGTTGGCAGTTTATAAGGGTCCCCGGTATTGTGGATACGTATTATCATGCTAAATATAACATGTTAACTACTTCGCATAATACCGCGATCCTCTCGATTCTTCTACCGTACGGTCGATTGGCGAATCGCGTTACTCTGCGCGTCGAAAATTTTATTGCCGAATTCGGCAGATGCAGCGCGCGATGCACAGCGGAAATGTAACGCCGGCTTTCTTCACCGAATTTCATTCGATGACAAGGCGCAGAGAAAGAGAAAAGAAAGCGCGACCCATCTCTCGTCTTTCTTTGAGGCAATTCAATTATCATTTCAATGAACACACTGAATCTAAATGTAACATTAGTCGTCTTTAATTATAAAAAATAAAAACATCATATATATAGGGTGTTGATAAAACTTAGACATGTCCCTTCAATTTTTCACAAATGTTTTCACTCTTACAACATTGTATTCTATTATATACTTATAAATTTTGTAATACTTTATTGATCGAGATTAAAAAAAAAATAAGAAGAAAATATATACTGTACATATATAACTAATCTCGTGTAATATTTGAAATAGGGAATCACCATTAGAATTTTGAAGGAGATTCAATTGTGTTAGACTCCTCTCTCTACACCACTCTCGACGATACTCTATGAGCGCGAAGAATCCGATCTTTTTCATGGCAGATGGGTGGATCCCGTAAAAGGCAATCGGTGGCAGCGCGAGAATGGGCGCGCTGTATCGATCACGAAATACATAGCGCGAATTCGTCATGCATTCTTATGGCGCGGCGCGGATCAATGCTGATTCTGGTGCCCGGTAAAGGAGCTATAACTGAAGGTCAATTCTCCACGGACTGTTGAAGGGGTGTGATGGGCCAGAAGCTGCTGGTGCAGGAGGCGCCTGGCTCCGGTTCCGCCTCGACGAATCGGATGGAAGGCGGCGAAGGCGCCGGAGGAGGGGAGCTACACCACTTCCTCCATCAGTACAACCAGCAGTCCCACAGTCCCGGTCAGAGTCTGCAGGGTGGTCTTCCGCTTCCGCTGAGCCCGCAGTCCCTGCGACACGACGGTGCCTCGAGCGCCGGCATCGCCGGGGTCAAGAGGGAACCAGAGGACCTCAGCTCATCGCGCGCGGGCCAACAATCGAGCAAACGGCACAAACAGGAAAGCCCAACACCGCCGGGAATGTACCACCATCATCAACATCAGCTACAGGTAAAATTCGGACGATCATCGCCGAGAACGCAATCACATGTTTCTTCAGAATTGACGATTGAATTTTATCTGATTTTTTTCACGTTGATATTTTTTACAAGATTTTAATTTTAGATAATAACTTAATGATAGATATCTCTACACGAATTTAATCAATTTACGATCAATTTTTTTTCTTACAATCAATTTTCGCTTCAATTTCGAATACTATTTCGTATGATCGAATTGCTTAAAAATTTGCAATCTCTATGCGAACGTTATAATACACTATCATCGTCCAAACATTGTGTCACGTATAGCCCAACGCAACAAGTACACCGCAAGATAACTCGAGAAAATAACACAGATCTCTCAGATTTGCACTTGCTGCGCGTCGCATTCGCGCGTGGCAAGAGCCTCGAAGATTACCAAGTGTTTGGCGTGAATCGCTTTCGTGTTTTTGCCGCGAAAAGAGAACGAGTAAATGCGACGTGGAAAACGCGCAGGATTGCGATTCGCTTGAGATAGGTCGATAACAATGCCAAGAGGCAAGGTAACCGCATAATCATGTATGTATGTATGTGTGTGCAGGTGCAGCAGTACGGCAGCCCCTACGACCCCTACACGTCCTGCAGTCCGCGGCTACAGTCGACCGCGTACACGTCCACGTCGGCGACCGGGACCGGGAATGCGACGGCGAACGCCGGAGGTGGCGGGCTCCATCAGGAGGCGACGACGGTCTACGTCGCCGGCGACGCGCTGCCGCCGCTCGCCTCGTCCAGCTCCGCTTCCTCGCTGTCTACCACGACCGCTTCGTACACGAGGTACGAGGTTGTACCGAGCTCATATACTACGACACACGCGATACGCTCGTCGTCGAGTAGCAGCAAAGTCCTGACCGTTGATCTTCCCAGCCCCGACTCCGGCATAGGCGCCGACGCGGTCACGCCGAGGCAGGACCATCATCCGCCCACGGCGCTTCATCAGGTGAGCCCCTGCGATTAATTTCCTTCCTTACATCGTTCGATACGTTCATGTGTCAACCGCCTCTTTAAAGGTGCCTTTTATACGTTCTCGATCGATGCTTTCGAGATGCAAGATACATTTACGAGCGACATTTTCGATCGTTCCGTCGAAAGGAATCCTGGCCATACTGCGTCTTTGATATCGTAAAATATAACCATAAAATAATATGAAATATAAATCTCTCTTCGAGGTGAAAATTGTGGTTTTAATAAAATGGAAATATTAAAAATTCCGCGCAAAAAATTGGTCGACATTTTGATAATATTAGTAGTTGAAGTAAAGTTTGAATCATTAAAAGTGGAAAGTCGAGAAGAAAAAATGAACCGATAAAACGAACTGATAATTCTCACATATTATATTATACTGCTCTAATGTTAAAGAACGTAGCGTAATATGATGTCACGGAGTTAGCCGACAGGGACGGTCTTTAAACGGTTCACGTCTATATAAATCGCAATCAGCAAGTCGACGTTAGATAGCGAAACAGGGTCGGAACAGAATCGGAACAGGATCGCGGCTGTCCTGTCAACCGAGGCTCCAAGTTAACACGGGTTGTACGGAGACTTATGGGATATATACGGAGAAACGTATGTACGCTACGTAGAGATATTTGCCACTGAATTACGCTAAGAGCTTGTTGGGAGTATCGTTTAATTTTTCGTGAAAAATGCGTAGGAACGCGTGGCCCAGCTGTAGAAACGATCCTAACACGACCTAAATAATTCAATCAAACCGTAGAAGCCGATACGACGATCCGAAACGACTGGTATCGTCGGCGCTATCATTTTCAATTCGATCGCTCGCGATACAAATGATTTTGCTCGCGGCTTAATTAATCTCGCGACGAGATATCATAAATAAATATCATACATTAACGGAACTCGTTCGCCGCTCGAAGACCATTCTTTCGCGCGTTAATATATGCGATATTATAACCGTCATCCCATTGCGAGATTGTATATTTTCGCGTACGATATCCGCGCCCCATCGTTATCGTTTTCAGTGCGATTTGTCAAGTAAGTGCTTTCGCCCACGATGAAAGCCTCACCACGAGAGTTGGGCGATTAATCCTCTACGTCTCGAGCGATACAAACCGTACACGATATTACTCGTTAAAGCGCTCTAATACCGAATGCATAGAATGCATATGCAACGGCGATCGCCGTTCCCGAAGTGATTTGTCGCGCGAGTTTTTCCGTCTCCAATACATAATTGCGTGCAGTTAGACCGGCGCGATAAATTTGGACGCTAATAGTATACATCGGGATACATAATAGTCTCTAAGGGAACGATTATGGTATCTTGGTAGACCGCAAAATTCAGGCGTATCAAAAAGCGAACCCGTTCCTCCGGTCTCGCGTTTGTTAAATCTAATGGTTCTATAGACTTTCCGCAATAGACGCGTCTTGTTACGTACGAGGTGATCATCTTATCTGCCCTGATTTAAAGACCAATAAGTAGAGCTACACGATAATCATAAAGTTTAAGATAAAATTTATATATTCTAACTTTGCTTGTAACCGGACTCTTCTAAAAAAAACAGCTGACCAGTCGCTCGCAAAATTCTATCATATTTTTACTCCAAGATACTTTAGAAGTCTACTTCCTAGTTTTATGTTAAAGGCGCTTGATCTCCTCTTTTCACATAAGTTACTCGTTCGATTAAATATGACAGTAGTCAGCCTATTGTTTCATTTATATCGACGAGGTAGCTTTCATTGTCTTGACATGGACAATTCGTCATCCTTACGTTAGATATCTCGTTTGCTTCCGGAAACATTAATCGTGCAATAGTCGCGCGCGAGAGTAAGTCATTAGCAATGCGGTCGATATTACGAATTAGAAAGCACTCGTTCGTTCTGCTTGGCTTGTGCACGGGAGGCGCTGAAAATAAAACTCGAAGCCGCGGGACGCCGACGATGGCAGCAGATTAGGTATTGAATGCGAGCGCTACTGTGAAAACCGATCCGCTCGCATGATCGGTGCATTTATAGGCGCAATTAAAATGTTGATATTCTAAGTAGATATAACACATTATTCGAGAGAATTTTTTTCTCATCAACTCGCGCTCGTTTTATCTCGCTAATGCGCTCTACGGCGACGATTTCCGCAATATTTTTAAAAGCGGTGCCACTTTAAATTGCTTCGACATAACGTAATGCTCCAATTATGATCGCACAACGCGAGCGATACGCGTTCGCCTAATAAATTTGGCTCATTTGCGCGAACTATAAAGAAATCTCGTTTAACTAATCGTAAATTTCGTACATGCATTTCGAGAATAGCGTTACGTTGCAGCCTCCGATATCGCACGCAACGAGTATCATATTCTATCCACAATTTCTAATCGACACTTGTCATTCTTTAGAAGTCTTAAGTATGTTTAGACATTAAATATTTATTTATTTCCCTGCTCTTATTCATGACACAGTTTTCGTATATTCAACGATATGCCACGGTTCAGGTTTCTTGCAAAACAGATTCGATTACCGGCGTTGGAATGACATCTCAATTAAAACAGTCGCGTATCTTGACGATAAAATATGATAAATAAATAAACCACTGGCGAATTGCATGCGTTACACGTACAATTTACTCGTGACACGATGAAATTGCAAAAATAATGTTCTATTAAATCTTACTTTTCTGATGATATATGTATATATTTTATATTATAATAAAAATATAATATCCATTATAAAAATAAATTCAAATTTAGCATATAATTAAAAAACCAAGAATTTAAAAAAACATGATATTCGAGATTTAATTGTGAACAGATTTATATAAAGTGAAATATTCAATTGTTGTACGACGTTTGATAAAATTTTCGTTTAAAAAAATCGCTTGCAAAGATTCTTCTTGAAATATGTGATTTTCATACTTATTGCATCTCGCACATTTAATGTCTGAAGCATTTGAAAAGTTTCAAAATGACAAATAGCTTCTTGCCGGTGTATGGCAAATCCAGCGGTGGAGAGCTCTTAGCAAGAAAGAAGAAGTGCTTTTTTTTCGGGTTGACAGAGATTTGAAGTAACAAGCTGCGGTAACCGCGTTGCATTGAAAAATAACTGCAGGCGACGCGTAATCGCATGAAGACATATGAGGGAATAGGTCGTTTGGCAAGCTGCTTATTAACTGCCACGGTTGGAAGCGCGTGCGGGTCGTGCGGTTGATTTTACGAGACCACAAAGCTTCTATTCTTTCTTCTTTCTCGCTGCCTTCGGCAGCACTATGCAGATCCGCAGTGAAATGCACGAACGGAGATACTCGAAAGCACATCCCCATTAGTAGGTAAGTGGAAAGCTGTTTTTTTTTGCTGTACCTTTTACATTAAACTATTAAGATTTGTTTACAATGATGCGTGCATAATCGACGAAAAGGAGAAAGAGATCGCGCGAAAGCGGATGCGTCGAAATAGTCACGTAAAGTCGCGTGTTCGCGTGCGATTAATCATTTATCGGTCCGGCGATCCTTTTAATCACGCAGTTTGAAATTTATCGAGGGATACTCGAGGAATGAAAAAATCTAATGAAATGCAAAATGATATGTAAAATAAGACCGAATGTGTACAGATATTGAGTCGCTATATCGCTGATATACAAAATGGTAAATAATTACGTCGTTACTAGCTTTTTAAATATTAATTACACTGTAATCAGCAAACATTTAAATTAGTGAGGTTGAATATACGCTTTAACGCTTGTATATGCAAACTGTGTTTTATCTAGCAGAACACGACCGGAAAAAGGTGCAACTACCATTATCTTCACAGACACTCTTCACTATATAGTGTCTTCTATTAGTTATTTAAAAATCAGTATTCATATATACACACACAATTATTATATTTCATATTTTTTCATGGAAATATTGCTAGAAAATTGCCGCTTATTTAACGTAATTATAAAAAGTTTTACTTTTTGTGGTACTACTTATCATTACGAGAAAGTTGATAATCATTGGCTTATATATAAATGCTTATCTTATATTTTTGAATACTTTATTTATTATAACCATTCTATAATTTGTGCAATAACTTTCAATTTAAATTTCTAATTTAATTTACATAAAATTTAAACAAAACTAAAAAAAATTAATTTAGATAAAATTGAGATAAAACTAAAAAAAAAATAGAAAAAATTACGGCATTTATTTTTTATTTATAGGATGATATAAGGTTTCCTTTCATAATGGACTAAATTTATTTTCTAGTCCTCGTTCGACTATACGGAATTATGTCCTGGTGGGACGACAACCGGAGCGGCGGTGGTCCTCGAAAGTGGCGCCGTGATACACCATCAACCCCTGCAACTGCAACTACAGCAGAACCATGCACAGGCACAGGTGCAACGCAACAGTCTCGTGTCCGCAGGTGCGACAAATCCGAATCCGAACCCAAATCCGCCGAGGTCGCGGCCTTGGCATGACTTTGGTAGACAAAACGATGCCGACAAGATTCAAATACCGAAAATGTAAGTAAACTTTGCAAATAATTGTTAAAGAAATTGACGAAGATAATTTTTTGAAGCGCGTCTCTTTCTCTCTCAAGTATTATTTGAAGATAAAATTCTTTAAATGTAATATTTCTTGTAAAAAGTGATTTTAAAGTGTTAATTTTAATTATCGATATTTTAATGGATGCTTGATGAGGGGGTTACAACCTTGCTACAACCTAAATTTAGGAGATTAAAAACGAAGATAATGTCGAAAAAGAATTAATAAGTGAAAATAATAAATTATGATAAATATACATATAATAAGCATAGGGGAAAGGCGGATGTTTAAGTTACTTTGATGAATAACTGAGCAAATAAATAGATATTGAGATTGATAAATATGTCTTATTAATTGTATCGCGCGAAAGAAAAGCGATAAAAGTTAATAATTCTAGATTATCCAGAGCGAATCAATTGTGAGCTTTCGTAATAACGCAAATACTTTTAGTCGTGTATAAATGAAATCACTCTCTCACAATAATAAAGAAAGTTATATTTAATCTTTATAAATAAAAATATATTGGTTATTATATTCTTAAGAGCCAATATATCGTACATGTGATTAGTAATTTAATTATTAATTTATAATCTTCCTAAACATTTAATTTACATAATTACTAATATGATAAATATGGAATTTTAAAAATTTGTATACATATATATATATATATATATATATATATATATAATTTTATAGCATTTAAGTTTAATGTGTTATAAATTAAGATATTTTTTTTATTCTGACGACTAATAGCACTACTGAAAATGCATTTATGTCACAATATTATTTCTATTTCAAGGGAAATTAATATCTCCATTAATCTTTAACTAAAAAGAAGAACTTCCTGCCTCTTGGCCTTTCGCAGCGTATACCGTTCATTTCCTCTGCGGTTCATCACATCTGCCTGCCGACTGATTTAGTTTTTCTCTTTATTTTACTCATCCTTCCTAACGATCTTCCTACTTCCCGTTTCGCTCCATCCGCCTTTCATAATAATTTGTTACTTCCATTGTTAGACCGACCGATCAGGGGCGCTGAAAATCGCTCTCTCGCTGAGCTCACCGAAACAACCAACGCGAAATGAACAATGATGTTAAAGTTATTAAGTCGGCTCTCTCCGACCGATTCTCGAAGAACGGACAAACGCCTCGGGGTCGCGCTGGGTCCGGGTTGAAAAATCGCACATCCGCCGACTACTCGCACCGTGAAATCGAAATGTCAAGAAGAGTGTACGAGAGAGAAGAAGCAGAGAGGGGAGAAAACCGTTCTTTTTTACAAACGAAAACAAGAAAGACGAACGTAGAGAGAGATACTCGGTAGTCGCGTGTAACCGACGCATAGAAAATCGTAATAAGGTATATAGCGAGTAGTAGCAATGGTAGCTCGAGCAGCAGAGACGCACATAAGAGCGTTCACCCTCGCCAGTTATCGCTTTGCTGCATCCGTTCTCCAATACGACTGATGGAAAAAAATGAGAAAAGTACGAAGAGATTAAAAAGAATAGACGAAAAGACATAGTCGCGAATACGAAAGCGCTGATCGTCGCGCGCGGATAGAGATAATTGGATGCTTTCGTGACAACATGATAATAGCGTCGGCAAAAGATTCGTCGAAAGTTTTGACAGAGATCAGTAAACCAGGTTTGGCGATTAGAGATTTTCCTAGATCATTCTGTTCCCGCTTTACTTTCGCATCTACCTTCCTTCATCGCGCGCTCGTCGTTGTTTTGTCCTCGTCTTGCATCGTGTCTTTCTCCTGATTTCTGTCTCGGGTTAAACGCGTCCATTTTTCACAAGGTGTATCGGCCGTCTACCTGTCTGCCTCGCAATCGCGAGACGGAGATAAGCTCGGTTAGAAGCGCGATATTCCATCGGCAAGGTTGATGGGACTCTCGATATGTTCTACAGTGTTTTCCTTTTACCACGTCGCGTCGCGTGTTTGCGCCGGGTTGTCAACTTTCTCAAGCTACGAATAGTTTAAGCTTCTCATTATCGTTCGATTCTTATTAGATATCGTTGGAATATTCATATACATTCACTTTTTTCGCAATCACGAACGTAATTAATAAACGCTCTCTCTCTTCTTGCGGTTTTATTTAGTTCCGGTATATCGGTTGTTTTTCAAACAGAATATGTTTGTCTTAACCAGCGAAGTGTGCGAATGCATCGCTGGAAAATTAATCGATAATTACGCGATAATTACTAACGTTGCGTAGCATATTGATCAGCTAACTTAGCATTCCTTTGCGAGTTCATAACTATCATGATTAAGTAAACGTAATCCAGTCTTGACCGAGTCTGAAACTACCAACATAATGATCAACTACCTGCATAATGATCCAGGAAAGATGACATCTTAAATATGCACGTTTTTGTGCACGCACGTGCCAGAATCTTGTATCCACATTTTTTTTCATTCGGGGAATCTTATCTGTTTGCTCTTTAGTTTCTCGCCTTACGGATTTAAGTATCATCTGGAGTCGCCGATCAGCACGTCACAACGCCGCGAGGATGACAGAATAACATATATCAATAAGGGCCAATTTTATGGTATCACATTGGACTATGTGCCCGATCCTGACAAACCACTCCTCAAGGCAGGACAAACGGTCAAGGTAAGAACAGAAAGATAATTATACTGTTTGCATAACGGTATTACATAAAGATGATATATAGATTGACATGCAGATAGACATGCAGTTTGAAAGATTAACGTCTCTCCAAGATCGTAGGAGAATCCAATAATATATTCAATAAAAATAATGATCCGAATTTTAATAAGTTTAAATTCATGATTAATAAATTTTTACATTAATCTCAATAATATTTCAAGAAAAAAATATGATTTATTATACCTAGTGTGTTCTCCCTTTCTAAATTAATTTCCCGATTAAATAATAATAATAAAAGACTACGACAGCATTATCTAGTAAATCTATGATGCGATTATCACATTATCGGATTGCCCAAGCGTTTCGCATTGCAGACTATTTCGCTCGCGTGACTGGAGCGACAAAATTCGCAGAGATGATCGGCGTGCGCGCAGCGTGTCGAGATCAGAAGAATCCAGACGTGGTCGTTTGTTTTCGTGGCTCTAATTGGCAGCCGCGGCGCGCACCGTTAGCAATTTCCATTCTGATAAAGGTGGTGAATTCTTTTTCCGTTCGGTGCGAGAGACGAGTTACGACTTTCTCGTTAATTGCTAATCGAGCGTCGAGAACGAGGCGTATGGCAGATTCGAACGGTATATTCGCGTCTTTCGCGCGGTGTGAGCCTTAAGGGAGATCGCTGAGTAGATAGATATAGGTATAAATGTAACCGCGTAACGCGAGCCTCTTATTCACGGGTGTATTCAGTCTCTCTCTCTCTTTCCTTCCTTATTTCGCGCACCCATATTCCCTCCGGTACGTCGGTACGTGCAGTTCTTCGCCCATTCACCCGAATCACGAAAAATCCTTCCTCCGTCTCGGCGCTCGCTCGCCGCAAGCGGCGAAACGCTCACGCCCGCGTATGTCCGCTCGAGCGTGCGTCTGTCGCGGTTGATATGCGTCTCCGCGTATCGCCTGAGCAAAGGATATCGCCGATCCAGGTGAACGAGAAATTCGAAAGTTAATTTTATATTTGTAATCCTTTTTTTAGACTATTTTATATACGCGCTAATTAATTATAAACTATAAGAAATCTCGCCGCATGAGGAGCCTTAATTTCCATTTATCTAAGAAAAATTGATATTGATAATTATAAAAATATATTGTCGAAAAAATATAAGAGAGATTGTAAAGAAATATCGAATGTACATATTTTATCTAATGATTTTTATATAAAATTTATATATAAATTTATATATACAAATTTATAATAAATTTATATATAAATTTTTATACATTTAATATCTTTTAGAAAGTTTCCTTTGCCATTGTTACAAATAAGCACCAAATAAATAATAAATAATAATTAATAATTCATTGTCAATTTCCATGTCATATGATTAATAATTATTTATCTGCACAGAGTGTGGTAATGTTGATGTTTCGGGAGGAGAAGAGTCCGGAAGACGAGATCAAAGCTTGGCAATTTTGGCACGGCAGACAGCACTCTGTTAAGCAACGAATTCTCGATGCTGGTAAGATAATATAAAAAGATATGAAAGGCGAACCTGACCAATAATGACTTTCTTTATGGATAGCGTACGACGATAATAACTATCGATATTCATGATCGATTAAATCTATAAGTCTTTTGTGTTTTTGTGCAAGCTTCCTAATCCGTAACGGACGAACGGTAAGATTTTATCGCGACCGTATATACGCCCCGTTATTTTAATATTCTATTTGAAAGCATCTCACGAGAGCGTTAGAGAGTATTAGTTACCTCATATTCCCTAGCATGATCTGCGAGTTTCAGAATCACGTCCGTTGTTACAGACACAAAGAACAGCGTCGGTCTGGTGGGCTGCATAGAGGAAGTCGCGCACAATGCGATTGCCGTTTACTGGAACCCACTCGAATCGTCAGCGAAGGTAAGGAACGCCGGGAAATGTCGATTCACGTTACCTCTCTTTAAACAATGTACGTATATACTCTGGCCCTCCCCTGACATATCTCGATTATCGCCGCACAATCTTGCGCTCCGCGCAAATTGTATCGCATTCGATCGCGCGGCCTTTTTGTTAGCGGAAACATTAATAAAGCAATTCCCGCGTAAGCAGTCACCGCTGTTACCTGTCCGATTTCTGCGCAGATAAACGTGGCAGTACAGTGTCTCAGTACCGATTTCTCGAGTCAGAAAGGCGTGAAGGGTTTACCGCTGCATATCCAGGTCGACACGTACGAGGAATCGCCGCCTCACACGCACACGTATACGCCGCCATCCCATCGGGGCTACTGTCAAATTAAAGTCTTTTGCGATAAGGTAACCACTCGTGCATTTCCGTACGTTTATCTCTTCTTTATCCTTTCTCTCTCTCTCTTTCTCTCTCTCTCTCTCTTCGTTTCGCTCCTTCTCTTTTTTTCTCCCATTTGTGATGTAAATAACGCGCGATCGCTTCCTGATCGCAATAACGATCGTCGAAATTAAGTTGAGAGTTAACGTTGCTTACCACAGGGGGCAGAGAGAAAGACCCGGGACGAGGAGAGACGCGCGGCCAAGAGGAAGATGACGGCGACAGGTAGAAAAAAGCTCGACGAGCTTTATCACTCTGTCACGGAGCGCAGCGAGTTTTACTCCATGGTCGACCTGCATAAACCGCCGGTGCTGTTTTCGCCGCCGGCCGAACATGCCATCGACAAGGTGACAATCCACTTTTTTTATACGTAATTCAAGCAAATAAGTATCGTCTAGAAAAACTCATCGAGTTCTTACGGAAAAATAAACTTATAAAAGCCATTTAATAATCGATATTGAATTTAATCATTGCAAAGGGAATATTTCATTGTATGAATATGTAAAAAATAGAAATAAACTCCTTTTCTGATATATTACATTAACTTGGAGATAAAAAGTATTCGCGAAACGCGCATATAAAGCAGTTGAAAGTAAAAAACTTTGTTTATTTTTGAGAAAAAAGTCCGAATGTTTTATCTTAGCATGCATTAATTAATCGGTGTAGAAGCTGACCCAAAAAAATCATGTGGTAACCACAATCCTCTGCTCTCACCTCCGCCAGAACCCTGCACTAACCGCAACTCTTGCATCGCAAAGTAACGACGTGGACTTTCTCGGAGACAACCTTTCGAATTTTGCGTTTTATAATTCAACTTCTTAGTTTTTACTTAATACTTTTTTTAATTAGTTTATTTAAATAAATATTATTATATAAATTTATCGCGTAATTATATATTATGTATCCTGTTGCAGAATAAATAATGATGAAACGTATTTATTATTATTCTATTATCAGTGCAAAGCTTTGGAAAAGTTATTAAATTTATTTCTCTCTGCTCTTATAGTTTCTAGATTTGTCCGCCATTTCGTAATTTATATTTTTTCAAACTGTTTTATCTGTTAAAAGAACCAATGTTGCATTCCAAGACTGCTCCTCATTTCCCAACGCAAAATTCAAAAGGGTTCTCGTCGAGAGAGAAGAAAAAAGCAAAAACCGTGTAGAAAATAAAAATAAACTTTATTCTTCTTCCACGACAGTTCTCGACGATGGAGTTGTCGGGCTTCTACGGTGGTGGCGGCGGCGGGGGCGGAGGTGACACCGACACCTCGTCCCTCAGTAACGGTGAAAGTGGAGGATTGAAGGCGGGGGGTAGCAGCCCCTATCCGGCGGCATGCGGCCGACCGAGTCTGCCGGCCCTCAAGTTCCACAACCACTTTCCACCCGACAATCTCAGTAGCCTGCACGACAAGAAGGACTCATTGCTGATGCAGGTACAGGAGCTACAAGGATCGGTGCTGCAAGGGGTGCAACAGACCGGTTTAGCGGGTGCGATAGTATCCAACAATCGGCTCCACTTGCAGCAACAACCGCCGCATTTACGCCCGACCGATGCCGAGGAGCGCGTTATGCTATACGTGCGTCAAGAATCGCAGGAAGTCTTTACGCCGTTGCACGTTACGCCACCGACGGTCCAGGGATTGCTCAATGCTGTAAGAAATCAACCCTAAAGATATATTTTCCTTTTATACCGCCAACAAATACACGCATTGACATTTACAACATACGCAACATCCGCGTGCGTAGAACGATTTCACGAGTTCTTGGCACCTCTGCGAGGTGACGGCTTGCGCGATTTGTTTACATATGTGCCGCTTTCGGAGATACAAAGATTTGAGAGAAGTATATTTATAAAGTTTTTTCAGAAATTATACACAGAGCTCAAATAATCTCGTTGCATTATCGTGAGTTTAATGTCCGCAGTGCGCAAAGGAAATTATTAATTCTTCCGAATGATGCTCATATAAATGTACTGTTTATTTTAAAACGAAGAGTAAATGTCGCAGATATATAAACCGAATGCGTGTAATCGAAGAGAAATACGCGTTTAAATGTTACGTTTACTAAACATTAATGTCATCCGGTAGTAAAGTAGATGATGTAACACACATTCTCTAAACTCGTTCGTATGTCTCGTAGAAATGGAAACGGGAAATGGAAATTCTCGCCATTTCCATACCACGACCGAGAGATACCGGCAACTATACGTACAGTAGCTACAACATTTTATGCAAAACATCGGGCGATGCCTCGAATATGCGCAAACACGGACGTTAATGGATTAATGCGTGATTACGTTCACCAGACTTGCTCTAAAAAACAGATTAAACGACAACAATAACGCAACGTGTTATATCTCGCTATCGAATACGTTTCTGTAGAGCCAGTAACGCTATCAACCCTAATAAAATTATTACGCCGGATGATAACTAATAATTGTTCGATTTCAATCGGTATCACTTTAGTTTCGCTCATTCAATCACGCTCGAGGCACGCGAAAAATTACGCCGTGAGGATATACGAATGCACATATATATTTATTTACGTACACACACACATATAGTCTCATGTCAGAGATTATCCATGCATGTGAAGGCATATTACGCCATTATTAATACCCGCGCGTTTGCCCTGATCCGCTCGCTAATTAATATTAATGCGCATGCATCACTGTCCACTGTGTCCAAGATCCTTATTAATATAATATCAAAAGTGCAAGACGTACGATCATATTATTTCTCTTTCTCTCTCTCTCTCTCTCTCTCTCTCTTTCTCTCTCTCTTTCTCTATTATTTCTTTCCTTCTTCGCGGATGTGCGAAACTGTAGGCGGCTCTGAAGGATTTGTCAAACGTTGATATAAGAACGCGTTACATCTGAATCGGAAGAGAAAAGTGGAAAAAACATCTCTTTCTTTATCATATCTTTATCTTTTTCCCTTTTTCTGACGCGTTTTCTACACGGTTCACGAAATAGATGGCGTATTTCTATCTCGATTGCGCCCCAATCGACTCAATTTTTTATACATGTTCTTTTTCTACTATATCACCACGTTTCGATTCGTCTTGTCTATCGATCTAGCTCTGTCTTCATATCTCTCTCGCTATCGCGGAGATATTGCGTCCACCCACGCGTGTCTCGTAAGTACTTTCTCAAACGCGCGGGCGCGAAACAAATGGTCCGCAAACCACTGTCAAAATTCTAATGTTCTACTTTTTTCTATTTTGCAGATTGAGTCAAAGTACAAAATTGCATCCTCGAGTATTAATAACCTCTATCGCAAAAACACAAAGGGGTAAGTTTAGTAGAGTGTCATCTTTACTTGCATGCACGCCTACGCGATGCATGCCATAACGGTGACATTGCCTGACTCTCTCCGCCTCTGGTTTGGTAGACTCTCTCTTTCTTTCTCAATCTCTCGCTCTCCCTTTCGCCTATGATCGTGCCTCTTTCAAACGTCGGATACGCGTTCCTCTGCGTTGTACATTTGTATACGTACACAATTTTCAGTAAAGTGTATACTCTCTTTGTCGATCATCGTAACACGCACGCAAATGTCGCTACACGTTGAGTGTATCTTGCCGCTACGCACAATCCTGATTAATCCACTAATTTATTCTTCACGCTTCTCGTCTTTTGCTTTACATTACAAGCGCACTCATGCACGTTTGATTGCCTCGTCTAATATCGTCGTGCGTCTCGTTCGGCTGACTTTTCATTTTGTCCATATATTTTCCAACATACGTTGGTTGCACACGATGGCGTTGTTTATCTCGAGAACGATTACTCTTCGTTATTCGATAGATCACTCACGTTATAAAAACAAATCCTCTCTTATTCTCTTTCTCTCTTTTTCCCTCTCAAACTCTCAATACGCAGTGCGCTACGAATTTTTCAATTCGCTTTTTTTCCTTTTAAAATCCACCGCACATCCATCGTCTTGTTTCGCCACTATAATATTGTGATGATTTTACGATGACATATTGCGTAGTATTATTATTTTTCAAACATTTTCCTCTTTTTTATTAATTTTGTAATTTCATGAAATTATATTAGAAAGAAATATATATAAATATACTATAATACTAAAATATTCAATATTATGAAAAAAATATAATATATCCGTCACAACTTACAATTCTTGGAAGTTGTTGCACATTAAAGTTTCATAATGATAATGTGACATGTCATTTATCGTACATAACAGAAATTATATAGTAACTCGTTTACTAAGTATCATAATATTATAGCGGCCAAAGTTACCGCGTTGCATGCCAACTCGAACGATCATTACGTTCCCCGAGAAATGATAGCTTCCGTTTGCGGATCGTGGCACGTCGAGGAAACTTAACGAGAGCATCACCCTACCCTGTTGCAGAATTACAGCGAAAATTGACGATGATATGATCCGATATTACGTCGATGAGGACCTGTTTCTGCTGGAAGTCAGTCACTCGCGGATCAATCCAGATCCTGGCAGCGAACGTAACCCGAACTCGCCGGGTGATCCCGGTGATCCGGGCGATTCTCCCTCTACGGCCGGATACGATGTCACCCTCATCGAGCTATCTCATCCTCCACCATTGCCGCACTCACCCCTTGCCAATTCCACGCATGCACATGCCCACGTTCATGACAATAGCAACACGTGAACCGAATTAGGCGAGACAGAAGTTCACTCTTGATCGTGTAAATATACCATGTAAGTTGGCGAGGACTGATCATCTGGAGGGAAAGGAGAGAGAGATCTCGTATCTAGCGATAATTGTTAAATGGACAGCGAAATTTTTTGCATCGGATTTGAAGATTCTTGTACAAGTGATCAGCTTATTGAGAAGATTCATCTAATTAATTTTCAGTGAAGAATCATGAAGGATCATTAAATTATCACTCAGGAAGAATCATGAAGAATCATTAGATTATCATTATTGTATTTTCAACATTGAAGAATAATTCACACACAACATTTCGTTATTTCAATAGATCATGTAATCTTATTATAATGTTATATAGAGAGTCGAAATGTTTTGTAAAAAAAATATGACATATTTTCTAGATTTTTTGGCGATTATTTCGTTAATAATTATCATTTGTATAACACTTTTAAATGATCTTTTGATATAGCTGTATGGGCTTCGACTCGACTGAAGCAAATAGAATGTGCAAGAATGTACGCATACGTCGCTAATCGTACGAAAAGCGACATGTTATTTTATATTATTTGTTTTCGTCTCGTGAACAATTTATATGATCAATTATTAGATTATATATATATAGGGTACTGAAGCGTTGCGCTGCAAACGCGAGCGCCATGTAAATCAATCAAAATTGATTTAAGTATCCCGGTATATGTTATATATACGTATAACGTATATTGTAGATTTATATGAGATTTATTAATTCGTACATTACATGACGTATCGATCCTTAATTCGGATAGTTGATACATAGCCTTTTATACGTCCGCAAATTTTAAAAAAGCGTCACATTAATAATATAATCGATATTAATCCCGCGAATTATCACATTGAAAATCGATGAGATATAGATACTTTATGTACATCATAACGCGCGTGCCACCATTTCATGTTAAACGAATGACTCGATATGTATGTGTTAATCAATGATAGAGGCGATCTGTGTTCTTTCTGATGCGACTCTGCGCATTTCTATTCGATCTTCGTCCATAAAGATTTCAACGCGCGATGTCGATTTCGCGCAATAAATCATACAAGAACGATCGAGAAATATAAAAAAAGATAAAAAAATACGTATTTCATCAACAGCTCGTAAAAAGTTAATCGATACTTTCTTTTTATTTGCCTCATCTCGTTAACAAGATTTTTATAGCTTCTCGTTTATGAGCATATTAACGCACGCGACGTATTTATGCATGAAGACGTGGTGCGATTTCGTAACGTTGCTATTAACCGCGATCATTACATGCGAATCAATCTCGGAGCAAAAATCTATAATATCGTGTTTATAAAAAAAAATTATGAAAAAGAATCGCTGAAATTAGAGATTGCCTCTTCTTGTGCTACACTTTTTGCCACGTTACGCTCGAAATAACCTCGAGAAGCCACGACTTTTTCTAAGTCTTAAGACTAATAAGAGTAATATAATATCACACTGTATCTATTCGTAGTATAATTCCTCTATAACATAGCAGCAGCCCGGATCAGACGTTAAATAATAAAATAACGAATTGATATCTCGGAATTAAAGCGATCAATATTCTCTCCTCAGAAGAAAGAAAGAGAACCTCATACGCATTTTAAAAATGTTTATACTTCTATCTTTAAAGCACAGATCAAATAAACTGCTAAACGAGAAAATACTTTTTTGACTTTAAAATAAAAGAAAAAAAAATGAAATCTTCAAGAATTATATTCGGCCCTGCTTCCGAGATGTTAATTCAAGATCTGTGCGAGATAGAAACTCGCATTGATTACGTCGAAAACGATTCACTCGAGAGCAATTAAGATAAAGATTTTGTTTATTGGATATATGCTTTTTCAGGACATAGAATTACCACGCTTTATAATCTCATAATGAGTTCAATATTTCAGTCTCACTCGAATGTAATGAAATCATGATATCGTCGACACGTATTAAACGCGCGACCGACGATAGCATTACCAATAACTTGTGGTTATGTAGTTTGTAAGATAAAGTTTGAAGTAAAATATATTTAAAATGTGCCACCCCCGGTGAAAGCAAGCCACTTGCCAGCTTATATCACGCGCAATCACGATTAGGCGCGTATGCACACATATAACGCGGAAACATATGCGTACTCATACTCATACGTTTTTTCATACACGTATACACATACACATACTTGTTGTCAATTATATTAGAGATTTAGATTAAAGTAGCATAATCACGATCATGTTTTATATTAATCATATACATACGTCGATACACACCGATATCAAAGCAAGGATCAAAATACGCTTGTAAAATGCTTATTATTACTTATTGAATACTATATTTTGTTACATTTATTGCAGATAGCATATAGATTGATATTATTAATATTATGGATTCTATTCGATTACGCGTAAAACATATATTATAGTTATATTATATTATTATTAATATTATTATATTTTTTTTATACACACGAAAGTGCGTGTCTGTACGGAGTGAGAATGTAGAAAGAAGAATGGAAAATGAGAGAAAAAGAGACAAAGCGAGAAATGGTGCGAAAGAAATAGTGCGTATGAATGAATAACTCGGAATGTCTGTGTATGAAATGTCAGAGAAAGAGAGAGAAACTAGCATCTATAAAATCAGTTTATGTTACACATATCTATGAAACCAAGATTGTTGGTTAGCTTTAGTCCATGACATTTTTTTGACATAATCGCACCGTCCCCTTTTTGTCAACATTTTCTCCTTCCATGTCCTCTCAACAGCTACTGTTGCACGTAGAAACGAGATGGAATGTATGATTTGTTATGTAGAGACAACAGCTGTGTCATTGCGCCATTTTATTATAATAGTATCATTCCATTATATTATTATTCTTACAATTATTAATATTATTTACATTATGAGAACAGAGAAAGAGAACGAAAGAGAGAAAGAGAGAATCGGATGAGTCGAAGTTCTCGAACCGTCCCAGCATTGTACTTAAACACCAACGTAAATGACAACGTAAATGGAATGAACTCGCGAATTTTAGATTTTATAATGTTAGAAATAGAGGAATGCATAGATAAAAAAGCTGTTGTTGATCGATAAATCAGACCGAGAGTGTCGGTTGAATTCGGAAGTGTGAGAACTACACAAAAGGATAAGATGCGAGAATGCCGAGAGTACAATCGTTTTTCTTCCGCTGCGTTGTCTTGCCATCGTGAGATTGTGCCAGAGGTGATATTATATTATTACGATGTTTATTGCAACAATAAATATTATATTAGTACGTTTTATAAATCGCACGCATTTATTATTGCTAGAGGTAAGTTTTATAATCTTTATTGTTGTCGTATCATCATATTGCTTGGCGGAACATGTGTGAATAAATTATATTAAAATAAATGAAGATTGAATAGAATTTATAGAATCAACATATATATAAATATATTCATATATAATAAATATAAAATATTAAAAAAAAATTATCTGTATTAAAAGAAAATTAAATACAAGATAATTAGAAGAATACTATAACATAAAAACAGGAAATGTAAGGTTCTAATATTCCGAAGGAAAGAAGAAAAAGAATGATTATAAAAATAAAGATTTATCTTTTCATTTCTACAAATGAAGGATCGACATTCTTTGTTCGTTTATTTCAGAAGATTAATATTCATTTATGTATCTTTTGCATCACGATATCAATCTTCTCCATATTGACTTACGATTTGACGATGTATAATTGTTCGTTTATCAGCAATTTGCATTAGCATATATCGTGAACATGTTTCGTTCCATTTAAGGAACTGCGTGAAATATTTACGAGATTAAAAATTTCCGATTATATTAGCATAATATATCTGATATTTATTCGAGTTTAAAAACGCCTTAAGCAATGCTATTAACTTTTTATGCAAGAATTATATATTTTATTGACTTTACATATTAAAGTATGATTGAAAAAAATGTACAACAAAACAGAAAATGATATTCTAACGATATTCGTGATTGTTCTATTGTTTTTCTCATCATTCCTTTTACAAAAATCGCGAACTCTTGCTTTGTTGCATTTCGCACAACGTTAAGGACATCGCGAAGCAGCGATCAAAGGAAACCTGTTGGCAAGGAATTCAAAAGAAAAAAAGGGAATTCCGTGCGTGAAAACCCATAAAAAGAGATAAAGAAGATTCCATGTCTTAGAGGAAGAATGAAAGAAGCGTATCACAAAACTAACGATATGCAGCGAAGTCCAACCGCTTTCGAAAAGATCCGCGCGTATTTCGCAGCTGACTTTAACGATTATTTTAACAAGCCATCTCCCAGCCAACATTTCGATAGAATCGCTTTTTCGAAAAAGCCTGACATGACACATCCAATGCGATTAGCATCCAAGGAGTATTTGATTTCGCGATCAGAGGGAAATTATTATATTTAATCACTATCGATCATAAAACTGATATGTAATAATAATGATTATCGATGAAAAAAGAAATGGATTAGTGAAATATAATATTACTTAATGAATATATAGATTCATTAAACATTAGATGACTTTTTTAAATAATGATTTTAATAGTTTTTTTAAATTAGTTTTAATTTAATGAGTTACATTTTCGCTAAAATACGATTTTCATAAAGAATTTAATTCTAGTGTTTAGTATATTTTTACAGAAAATATTTCTCACATATTTGTATTTGAAGTCTGTAAAAATAGATGTATATTATTGACAAGTATATTTAAAAAATTCATAATTTTATAAAATAAAAAGATTTTAGAAATTTCTTTTTTTCGATTTATCTATTTTTATAAAAAGAATCTGTTTCATTTCCCAAAGTTTTAAAGTATTCATTATAATAAAATTTAAGACAATACATATATTAAGATAACACATATATTAAGATAACACGATATTTTTTTTATTTGTTTATTCGAAATGGAGAAATAAAATATTTTGTATCTCATTCTAAGTTTATATTTGTTCTTGAGATAAAGCTTAATATTGAAATATGTGTCAAATAATCTCTCCTTTGTTTGTTTTATATATTTAGTAGACATTATATTGGTAAGAAGCATAAGTTTTCAGATATATTAATACGAGAATCAATCGTCAATGAGTGAGCGTAGAAATAAGATCGTAAGTAAATTTCTAAATTTTTCTATAAAAAACGAGAAACAGATTAATACTAAAAATAAAAAGCGTGTTAGAATCTTTCAATTGTAGTTCTTTAATATTAAAAGATATCTCTCTCTCTCCCTCTTTATTTTTATCTTCTTGTTTATATTTAATTTTTCTCTATTTAATTCCTATATAATTTTTCTTTATTTTTGTTCGCATAATAAATATTGCTAATTTATTATTAGATCATCCTTTATCTTTTATAGTAAATATTTCTTCACGTTTCTCTAAGATATGAAAGCGTAATATGTAAATAAAAACTAGAAAGAAGATTAATTAGTGTCTTAATTATGGGATGCAACTTGCGTATTTTCTCGAATAAAAGAAGGGATAAATATACGGAGAATATAAGTGGTTACGGCGCGACTTAGTCAGGCAGCTATCATCATTAGCTGTAAATCAGCTAGTATAGTGGCAATCGTAAAAATTCACGATGTTGTAAAAAGACACTGGTCCTGATAAATTATAGTTTTGTAAACATAATTTATGTTTTCTTTATTTTGTTCGAGAGAAATGCATATCAATCAGTTATGCGAAGTTATAGAATTTGTAAATGCTCTGTAAATAATATTTAGCAAAAAAAATGTTAAACAATTTTGAACTGTGTTTCTTCTTAAGATCGCTTCTTTTGTAAGAAGACTATTGCATGCAGAATAAAAATTAAATTTTTTTATTTCCCAAGCAATTATTTTCTTGGAAAGATTTCATATCGAAATATTATATTACTTCTCAAGAGATTTATTTCTCAGAAAAAAAAATAAAACTAAAAGAGAAAGAAAAATCTAAGAGGAAGAAAAAAAATCCACTTATCTTATATTTTTAAATCTCTAACACACATATATCGATATGTTAAAAACTGTTTTTAATAGACTCTGCTTTATTATATTAATTCAACGAGTAATGTCGATAAAAAAACACGCATATAAAAAGTAAAGAGATAAATCATATAAATATACAAAAAAATTCTTGAAGTCGCACACAACAACATTAGATTTAGCCGTAGGCTAAATTTTAAGATTGTATCAGATTTTTTGTATGATGTCAGATATGTATTATATTCTAATTTTACATTCTAGTTTTTGCTACGTATTACATTTTAGCTTTTCTGACACAACACTACATACAAATAAAATTTATATATAATTTATTTATATATAATTATATATATAATTTATATATAATTTATATATATATATATATATATATATATATATTTTACACACACACAAGCACACACACACATACACACACATACACACACATGCTAACATTTAATAAAAATCAATTATAATTTTTATTAATAAATTTGATAACTCGTATATTTGTAGTCAATTATGCGTATAAATTTTATAGTATTACGAAAGCGAACGTGTTTTTACTGTGTATTCCGTTATATCATACTAAAAGAAAAGTAATAATTAGTATATGTAGAAAGTAATAAAATTTCTGTTAATATTATGCCATCTATTATGACCGCTTTCATGTAAACACATAATATTTATACATTATTCAAGGAAAAGAGTAATTCTATAATTTGAAATCTTATATTCTATATTCTATAAATTCGAAAAAATATTTGTAAATAGATAAATTAATTAATTTCCCTGAAATTATGCTATGTGCAAAACTTCATGTCTTTTTTTACTTTTTTTCATTTATGTATCGACATATAATGTGCAATTTTATTTATATGCTCTTTCTTTCGAATAATGTTATTAGAATTGCAACAAACGACCTTAATATTTCTGGTTAATTATGAGCAGTCCTGAGTCAACCGGTTTGCACATTTCGAAGGATTCGGCAAAGCATAGCAATCTTATTGTGGCGCCAAGACGAAATCTTGAACCAAATTTTATATGTGCGCGTTAAGTATGGTACATATTGCTGAATATTCTTGTAATAATGAGGTCAGTGACTCGAACAAGAACATTGAACTTTAGTCGTATGCTTCTTGTCAGTCTCTCAAAGAGAGATATTCCATCTGTGTGTTCTGAGAATCTATATTCATAACAGGTGAAGAAATGTTGTAAAATTTAATTTCATATTTCAAATCTATGACAGATACAAATACGAGAATACAATATGCATGTCCAACCACCCACGATCTGTCCATTACTAAGCTTAGATAATGTGTGTATTTTTGGCAGAGTCCGGTTTGGCGGGTCAGATGTTATTCGCTGTCCTTATCGATTATCGAGCCCTCTTTTGCGAGCGACAATAAAAAAAGAAGTTTTATCTCGTCGAGATGTCGACAGTAAGTGGTTATTAACTGTCCGGTCAAAGAACGCGCGGACTTAAAATCTCTCTTCTTCCCTCCACCCTTTAAGACGCGGTTCGTCGACCTAGGTATCGCAATCTTGACGTATACTTCAAGGTCTTTCGCTCTTAACTCTCCCGTGTAAGATACTGTATGCCTCCGCACATGATCGAAGATCTTGTCCTAGTGGACTGTTTCTAAAGATGAAGGCTTGCTTACAATATATAAATATAGATATACAAATATTTGCATTCGATGAAATATTTGGTGGTTCTATCTATTCGAAACTACAAAGAGGGCATTTTATATATAATAATTTTTCATATTCTTAATTTAAGAAATATTTATTTCTTTATATCAAAACGCTTTATATTATATTAGGATTTACGTGATATTATTAGTTTATTTTTAATGTAATTAAATGATTAACGCGAGCATAAAAGTATAAAAATTGAACAACTGCAGTAGCTCTTTGGAGTAAACAAAAGATCACGACGAACGTGGGGAAAGACGGTTCTATATTCACTGTCTCTCAGCGGAAGGAAGTGCATAAATACCTATCGTCGAGATAGGCGGGGATCACACGGTAAGCAAGTTCACGGCCGTCCCTTACGTGCAGCCTTCTCTTGGCATCTTCAAGGCCAGGTGCGAAGAATCGTGCTCTCTATGCAAATGCCAATTGCGCAGCATTCAAGTTGGACACGAATCGCGTGATCAAAGACTATCACGTACAATTTACATAATCGATATAACTTAAATTCAGACAAATGTGTGTTATCATGTGCGTATAAATTGATCAGCGGATTAATCGCGAATATTTGTCAAGAAATTATCTCTCGAGAATCACATCAAAATTATGCAAAATAAATACTATTATATAAAGTATTTCACATGTCAATACTATAATTTTTTCTTATGATATAAATAAATTATATGTGCAGTATTTGAAATAATTGCTATACAATTTTTTCTTTTTTTAAAAATACTACAATGGCAGAACATAGATTGCTGAACGTTTTTATATTGTTCTAATCTTCCTGTAGAATCTCTATTTCGCATCAAATCATAAATAAACCGAAATGATTATTTTGCACATTGTAGGGAGACCGTGTGTGATCCCTACTGCGCCCTCCGTCGATCCTCTATCCTGCAGTTATAGGTGATAAAAGAGTAAGAGAATAAAGGAGCACCTTGTGCGTCATATCGAAAAGGAGACACAGAGTAATGCCAAGCACTAGAGGGAAGGGCAAGCCCGTTATAAGCTCGAGCAGCGGCTATTCAACAGCTCGGAGTCGCTCAGGACCCCAGCCGGTATTCGCACGTGGGTCCCAACCAAGTCCCGTGTTCCGCGCATCATTACTCTTCGCGGTGTTGACAACACAGAGTACGAATAATCGAGCACGTAAACAATCATCGTTCGCGATGCTGGTGTTCGTGGTACAGATAATCGCGACGATCGTACCCCTAGCTGTAGGATCGATATCCAGATCGTCGAACTTCGAATCGAACGATGACATTCATCCGGAGGAAGATACAGTCATTATCGAAGGTATCAATCTGTTTCGTGTGCATTTTAGATATTAATAAGCTGAGATGAAATATAAGTTTATCCGCATTTTCTTGATATATTCACATAAACTATTCTCTGAGCTTGATTAAAAATTATTTCAAAAATTCCATAAGTTGAGTTAATTTCTTTAAAAAATGATGTAGATCAAGATTTTAAACATCAGCGCAAAGATTTTTTCTTTTAACTGTCATATATAATTTACTTTAATAAAATATACAATAAAATAAGAACAAGATATTGTATATTAAAATTTAAATTAGTGAACTTTTTATATCGAATATTTATATTCGATATTTTCATAATTTGATAGCTTTATAAAGGAAAGAATATTTTTAGATGATTAATATTATTCTGAATTTGTTAAAAAAATTGTTTGATGTCTCCGTCATTTTCTGCATTACATGCATAACTGTTTTGAAAACTTGTTTTTTCTAAATTATATTATCGATTATATATTGAGTCATTTATAAAAAAAAAACAATGGCAAGCTATTTCTGTGTGATCTCTTCTGGTCAATGACTTTTAGCATTACCGATCTTTACTCATCGACAATCGCGAAATCCTCAAACAGATCCTTGTATATCGGATACTGATTAACGAACAATTCGCATGTTCCATACACGGTAACCGGAAGTTCTCCCGGTACGCACAAACCTCACCTTTGACGTGCGTGTACACCTGTGCGTCTTGCGTAGGTCAGCGAACTCTGCTGCTAAGTATCTCGATGGAATTCTATTATGTTTCGATGATTCATTGCACAAGATGTTTTTACGGAGTTTAAAAAAATTTTACAACATTTATATACAATTTCTATTTATACGTTTTCCAATAAAATCATAGAAAATTTTTCACTTTCTATTTTTAAACTTACTTTCAATATAAAATTTATTTTCATTTCAGCAATTTAATTCGTGCAATTCGTGCAATAGGCTCAGATATTTGTGAATATATTTTAATTTTATCACAACTTTTTTGATATTTAAAAAATCTTCGGGTATATTACAGCCTTTCGAATACAGCTACAAACTAAAGTAAACATTATCAAGTACGTGCTGACATAAACATGCTCGATGCTTATTTTGATTTTGCGATGATATAAACGTGACATATGCCGATATTTAATTGATAGAGAGAAGTAATATATTTGAATAAATATATAAATTTTTAATATAATGTGTCAGTATATATATAAACATATACTGACCAATAAAGTGTCAGAAAATTTAAAATAAACCGTAATAAATATATTATATAAAAATATATAGAAAATGTACTCTTTCCATACAAATAAAAAATTGTAAAAATTTAATTTGCAGCTGCGGTTGATCCGGATCAATTCGAAAGAGAAGGACGGGGCATTCTTTGGAACGGAGCCACGACTCGTGAGACCTGTCTAACATCCAAAGGCGAAGTCGGTCGTTGCACGACCTTCAAGGAATGCTATCCATACTTTAAAATCCCGGATCTTGGTGCTTTAGATGGTTGGGTTCTTGGCGTTTACGACACATGCAGCTATATCCGCGAAGATGGGAACCCAAGCTTTGGAATTTGTTGCTCGAATCTACAGCCCTTCATCACACCTCGTCCACCGACCGATAATTGTGATGATTCCATTGTGCAAAATCCGCAAGTAAGATGACTTGAAAACAAGTCGAAACGTCCGCACATGTTTATCTTTTAAGCCTGTTTATATATATCTTTTTAAGCCTGTTTATATATATTTTTATATTATGTTTACCGTTCTTATTTTACTTAAATTTATATTATGTAAGACAATTAAACATAATCAGTTAATATGAAATTCATCCCATAAATTCATCTCATAAATTTTAATATCGATACGCGACTTTCTTTTATTCGTAGTAACCACTTTCGCTACCGGAAACGTAATTCACGTGATTCGAATTGAAGTCTATTATGAATCAATCTACTAGAAAGCCAATTATCCCTATCTCGATTCGATAATATAATTTCGCAAAAAACTATTTTCATTTATTCGGTTCATTTATTGTTCCTGCAAATATTTTTTTTGCGTTGTTCATCAGACACTGAATTATTTTAGATAGAAGACAGTGAAAAAAAAGGCCAAGAGCCTGGGATAGCGCGCCCTCAAGCTGCTCCTACTTGGCCACCACCGATTCCGACACATCCACCCAATCACACGATACCGCCATTACCAACTCATCCACCCTCGTCTGAGCTACCCTCGTCTACGCATTCCACGACCTTGAAACCGATAACTACGAGCTCAAAAAAACCGGGCGTTGCTACTACATGGCCAACGAAAAAGCCAACCTGGTGGCCAACCTCATCGACTATGACGACTACCAGCAAATCTCCTTTCTCCAGCAACAATCTATCGCAGTGCGGTGCCAAAAATGGTAATCAAGACCAAGAGCGAATAGTTGGTGGGAAAAATGCTGATCCAGGCGAGTGGCCGTGGATCGCCGCGCTTCTTAATGCTGGTCGCCAATTTTGTGGCGGATCACTCATCGATAATCAACACATACTCACGGCAGCGCATTGCGTCCTAAAGTAAGTCTAATTCACCTATCAATTTATTTCGTAAATTAAAACAATCAGTATCTCTATGTTAACTAAAAAAATAGATCTATATTAAAAACATTTTTAAAATGTAATATTAAGTAATATAAGTAATATTGAAGTAAAATCTGACTCTTTAGAAAAATACGTTGTAATGTTCCAGTATGAATTCTTGGGACGTCGCGAGATTAATAGTACGTCTCGGTGATTACAATATCAAAACGAATAATGAGATTCGTCATATTGAAAGACGCGTAAAAAGAGTCGTGAGGCATAGGGGCTTCAATTCACGTACACTTTACAATGACGTCGCAGTTCTCACATTAAGCGAACCTGTGGAATTTACGGAACAAATTCGACCTATCTGTCTTCCTAGTGGATCGCAATTATATCAAGGCAAAACGGCGACAGTTATAGGATGGGGTTCTTTGAGAGAAAGTAAGATTTTTATGCTAATATATCTTTAACTCACTAATTAGCGATCACATTAAAAAATAGATTTTTGTTTTAATTTAGAATAACATGTAATTAACATTCAAGTACTCTATCAAGTACTTTTATTTATACTGTACATGTTATGCATAATTCGATTTGCATAATTATTTGTACAATCATGTTTAGTGTGAGATTATACGCGAGTTAACTCTTTGAAAAATATTTTTTTGTGTGAGAAAAATACTTAATATTTATTTAGGTGGACCACAACCAGCAATTTTGCAAGAAGTTTCGATACCAGTGTGGTCGAATAGCGAATGCAAATTAAAATATGGAGCAGCAGCACCAGGTGGAATTGTGGACAGTTTTTTGTGCGCTGGTCGTGCTGCTAAGGATTCGTGTTCGGTTTGTACCTCTTATTCACATCTTGCGTAAAATATGGCTATATAATTTTCAGTTTGTAAACTCGAATGCAATTAATTATTAATTAATTTCATTAAGTGTGCATTTTTTAATTATTTTTATTAAATAAAATTTATTTTTTCATTAATTAATTTAAGATGATTAATTTTACAAAATATAGCAAAATATATTTACGATTGGATGACCATTTATTTTACGATAGATGTGGAATATAAGAATATTAATAATTATATTGTAAATTTGATTGTAAAAATTAATGATTATGTTGTACTTACAGGGCGACAGTGGTGGTCCTTTGATGGTTAACGATGGGCGTTGGACTCAGATTGGGATAGTAAGCTGGGGCATAGGATGCGGGAAAGGTCAATATCCTGGCGTATATACAAGGGTAACGCATTACGCGTCGTGGATTGAAAAAAATCTAAAATAAAAAATACACAGGCGTTATACACATTTATCGCTACGTCTCTTTTGCACAGTTGTTGTTTCATCGACAAAATAAATTGCCGAGGAAACGCAGAATCGATTCTCGCTTTGGTGAAAAATGTGATAAAAGAGCTAATATGCCCTAATATAAAACTAGAGCTTTATAGCGGTATTAAAATCTTTTATAAAGTAATTATATCATTTCCTTTTTAATTAATAAATTTTAAATTTTGTATCATCGTACCATTTATGTACATTTCCTGATTATTAAAAAAAACATTATTCATTTACTATTAATATGTACGAAATGAATGAAAAATCGTTAATTATAAAAGTAGTAACAAAATATTTTGTATTTTACATATATATATGTATGTATATATGTATGTATGTATGTATGTATGTATGTATATATGTATGTATGTACGTATGCATGCATGTATGTGCGTGTGCGTATGTGTATGTATATGTGTGTATGTATGTATGTATGTATGTATATATATATATATATATATATATATATATATATATATATCGCTATACATACAAATATATAAAAAATATAGTTATACATAATAACAGTTTCGATACATTATAGGCTTCCGTTCCTGCCATGTCTGCATACAATATGTAGAAGGCTACGTATCGCAATTACTAATATTCAATTGTTGCAGAGTATTCCGCGCTGGAAATAGAAATTCTTCTATTAGACCGGTACCATCATACAATAGATGTATAACGTCGTTTAAGAAATAATACCGCGTAAATATCGAAAACGCACAATTTTAAGATACTTTTTTTTCAATAAAAAATTACAAAATTAATTCTTCAAATATTATATAGTAGCGATTTTTCTTATAGAATATAAGAATATATATTCCAAATTTCAGTCTATATAAATTAAAATCTTAATCTTTAAAAATTTAAATTTTAATCCTTATATCAATTACGTGGTATTATTTCTGAAAGAGATAGTAACATCGAAGTCGTAGTAATAACGTACCTTGAAAATAGCACGTATCATATTTATCGTCTGGCCGCGGGATGAACGGTGGTATCGCTTTTGACGGTTCGTCCCAGGGAAATTCGTGAAAGAGAGTCATGGCGCGTACTTCCTTTGCCGAGGGTCGTGCCGTTTGTTCCAAAGTGAGAAGTGCATCGATAGCATTAGTTGCTGCTGATGATAATGCCTCTTCATCCTCTGGCCATGGAACATCGCGCGCAAGAATGTTTGCGAATACTGCTTGCGGTGTTTCATCATTGAATGGTGGCAGACCCGTGCAAAACTCATACAAGCATACACCTAACGCCCACCAGTCAACAGCCGGTCCGTGACCCTGTCTGAGCAGCAATTCCGGAGCGAGATAATCAGGCGTACCGAGTATGCGATCGTCTGATCTGTTAGTGCCAGCTTGACCGCCTCTTCGCACAGACTTGGGCGTTCTGTAAGGCGTGTAACAATTACCCGAAGTCGCAGGTGTCTTGATGGGCGAGATACCCTGGGGCTCACTATGATTTTCGGATGTATTGTTCAGATCCGTATGTAGATCGGGCACGGAATGCGAAGTGGATGGCGGCAAGCGAAATCTCGTCTTTATTAAAGCCCTTGCATCCTCCTCCTCTTCTTGTGGCTTTTGTGGTTTTTCATCGCAATTTCTTCGTCTAGCAGAGGATACTGGTGTACTAAAAGCTACTCTACCCGTAGATCCGCTTTCCTGCTCAATATTCTGATTCGGTGTCCTACTCCCATCGTTATTTGTCAAGCCGACAGTAATGTCCACTGTTTTATTATATACCGAGGTATCATCGATCATAGGACTTGCACAAGAAAATAAGGGATCGCGATTATTTCTCTTGGGTGTTTTGTCGACGTCCAGATCCATCGAGTCGATCTCGCATGTTAAGCCAGTCGTTGCACATGCATCGCCCCGCTTTCTCTTCGACCCCCGAACTCGATTCCTGAATGAATTCATACAAGTGCTTACTGGACTGGTGGTATGTACAGGAGATCGCTGTTGAGATTTTTCCGCCTCTAGTGTAGATTCGTCGTCCTCTTCTTCCTCCTCCACTATATTTTGATTGCCTAGTGGGGCCGAGGATGACGCTTCGCAAGTATAATAGCTACTAGAACTATCCGGACCGTCTTCGTGCCTTTTAATCGTGGCTTCATTTTCTTCCACATTACTGTGTTCTTCAGTACTTTGTTCAAAATGCAGATCTTCCGCCGATTGAAAAGGTGTGACACCAGATATTCGAGAATAATCTCCGGATGCAACAGAAGAAATAACTGAATTTGGTGACAGATGTCCTCCAAATTTAGTGCAGTTTTTTTGCAATGTAGAGAGTAAATTCATGGCTGGTGTGCTTCTGTCACTGAGATTCGATTCGCTCGTAGACTTTTGACCGGAACCGAAGGATAAATGGGACGTCAACGAGAGTAACTGGCCGGGTGTTCTAGTGCATAAACTGGGAGTCGTCGGATTTACTAAATCTGATATTTCGAGATCCCTATGCAAGGATGATATCTTACTGAGTCCAAAATCTGTAAGTTTCACGTGTCCTTCACGCGACAGAAGCATATTATCTGGCTTTAGATCCCTATGTACAATGCCATGTGAATGAAGATACTCCAATGCTAGGCATACCTCTGCGATATAAAATGCCGCCATGGGTTCCTCAAAGAAGCCATAAACGCCGATCAGGCTCTTGAGATCACCGCCCACCATATATTCCATGACTAGATAGACACTGCTGACAGATTGCAGTGAATAAAAGAGTTGCACGCAATATGGACTATGAATCACAGCAAGTGCATTGCGTTCGATCACTACTTGCGATGCCATATTCTTATTTATCATCTCATTCTTTTTCATCACTTTAATCGCATATACTTGCTCAGAATTAGATTTTTTGTATCCTAAAAACACTTTACCAAATGCTCCTCTGCTTATTGGCTTCACTATCTTAAAATCCTGTACATCTGGTACCTAGCAAGAGAAAACAATGATATGAAAGTTAGAGCAAGAAATAAAACAACAAACAAATTAAACAAAGTAGCATATTTGTATAAATAATACTTGTTATAAATATTTGTAACAAACTAAGTTCTACTTCAATGTAAAATATACTATTTATATTGTACCAATGCAATTTAATCAATTTATCTTGCTTTAACAATATATTAATAGTATTATCAATAATTCTGTATAATCAATATCATAGACGAGTGTATACTTTACTTTTATATAAACTAAAATTTATCTATTTTATTTCTTTCTCTAACAACTTTTTGCAATACGCTGTTATTTAAAAATTTTAGGGATAACTAATGCTTGATTCCGGAAAGACTCAGGCCCAGTTCCACAATACAGTTAACCCGAGTTTAAATAGCGAATGGACCAATCAGGACCCAGTTTAACGTATTAAACTCGGATTAATTCTAATTGTGAAACCGGCCCTCAGTCTTATTAGAAATGAAAAAACGAGCGTTACCTTTGTAGTGGGATTAACAATTTTGGAAATGGTATTGAAAATAGAATTGTCGATGTATCTCTCGGATTGTTGCGGTGTACGCTCCCCATTATGATGCTCCGTGTCATTGTTATCCTTGCAGGATGTCTCGATGTCTGGCTCATTGATACGATTGTTCTCATCTGAACTGGATTTCGGTGAATCGGACGTCGTTTCTTCCATTAAAAAAAAAGTTTAAATAAAAAAAAATGCAAGAAGAGATTCGCGACGAATGTAACCTAGATTCCCGGGGCGCGCGAATCCCGACAATAATTTCCGACGAATCTATTCCTTCGCGTGGCGTCTCATAAAATTCGCTATCGTATTGCTAGTCGCGCGACTCTAATCATAATTTTTTCCCGTTTTATTTCGCGAGCAAAATTCGAAAACCGGTTGACATTTTTCAACATCACGCACATAACACATACTACATAAACGCGCGCGCACACAACATCGGCCAATTTCAGGATGGAGATCTGTCATGCTGGGCAACGTAAATCTAGAGAGATGGAAAAAATGGCGCTTATAGTTATTTTAGGATTGGCCGATTGGCTACACGAATCATTTAAACTTTGCTGCCAAATTCTGACGGTTGCCTGTAATCGCATGTCGTCTCGTGCCTCGTAACGATAGCAGGTACATACAAGTGGATATCGTTCTTTTATTAACGCATTGTTTTTCATCGTACAATGTACATTTTAATCGGAATCTATTACAGGAAACAATTACATCGTCATAGATCTTAGTCATAGTTTTCCGCGATATTTGGATTTGACTTCGCGATGGCAGCGAAAAATGTGAAGAGACCGAAGAAAAAAGGCGGTTATTTAATGCCCGATCCAATATCGGCCGGAGAGATTCTCACGGATATATCCAAAGGCCAGTGGATCCTTGGTAAATCGATTGGCGTCGGAGGTTTTGGAGAGGTTTACTCTGGTACTTAATGAAATTCTGTTGCTATTACATTTGGAATCGTTCGTTTGCTGCAAACTGAACTATTACACACTCCGTTGTTTATACGCATTATTTTGAACAAAACAGTAAAATATTTAAAAACATAGACATAATTAAGCAAGCAAGAATCAACATAATTGTCCTTTTGCAAAAATTTTACATGACAAATTCTGTATGCATGGTTACATGTATATTTGTCAGAGATGGATAAAAATTTGAATTTGATTCTGTCTTGCGTAAGTGAACATAAGTTCACTCTATTGCATTTGATTCTTTTATATGATGTTATTTATCAATTTATATTCTAATACATAAATATTTTAATTATTATGTATTGTGTGATTAATTCTCCAATGATATTAATTACAGCGGCACCTTATTCTGGAAAACTCCCCAAAGATTATTCTAATGTTATAAAAATCGTTAGTATTATACTTCTTTATACTTATTATACATAATTTTAATTTTATATTCATATTTTTTAAAAATTGAATTTATTAGGAACCACATGGAAATGGCCCATTATTCGTAGAAATGCATTTTTATATGAGAAACTGTAAACCAGATGAGAGTAAGCTTAAAAAAGGATTTTTATTATGAAGAACATTTATTACTCACATAACAAAATGTTTGAAAGATAAACATATCACAGTATATTTTTAGTTGATAGTTGGCAGAGAAAAAAGAAACTTGTTGCACTTGGAATGCCTAAATATATTGCATCTGGAAGTCACGAATATAAAAATATGAAATATCGGTTTTTGGTAATAAATCGGTATGGAAAGGATTTATGGAAAGTATTTGAGGAAAATAATAAACACTTTCCAGAACACATAGTATATAAACTAGCTTTGCAAATAGTAAGAATAATTATAAAAGGAAATAATTGTATGCAATTTATTATTTGTTATATTTTAATAATTGATAATTTATATTGTGTTATTTTAATAAATTTCTAGATAGATATATTGGAATATATTCATCACAAGAACTATGTCCATGCTGATATTAAAGGTGAAAATTTGCTACTAGATTTAAATTCTTATGATCAAATCTACTTGGTCGACTTTGGTTTAGCATCTCGCTGTACAACAAGCATTGAATTAAAAAAAGATCCTAAAAAGGCACATAATGGTACTTTATGGTACACAAGTAGAGATGCCCATATGGGAGGTAAGAGAGAGAATTAGAAATTTAAAAAAAATAATTCTGATACTTAAGGCAATTTATTATTTTTTTTTCTTTCAGTACCAACACAGCGTGGTGATTTTGAAATCTTGTATTATAATATGATTCTGTGGTTATGTGGTTCACTACCATGGGAAAAATTACTTGATCCAGTTATTGTTCAAAAAGAGAAAGAAAAAGCTTTCAAAAATATAGACAATTTTCTAGAAAAGTGTTTTCATGGATCAATTCCACAGGCTATGCATAAATTTATGACTTTATTGGCTAGTGTTAAATTTAATGAAATGCCACCTTATGAAAAATTTAAAGAAATATTAATAGCTGATTTAAAGAAATTAGGTTATAAATCAGATGGTAAATTAAGATTAAATACTATCAGTACATCGATTGAAAATCCTTCTAAATCTACTCCACAAAAAATAAAAAAATCTGCAAATGGAGTCAGAAAAAGTCCTCGTATGAAACATATGGAGTCTGTGAATCCTATGAGAAATCCAAGAGAAAGTACTATAGGTGTTGTAATTGATAAAAAACGTTGTAATAGAAGAGATATTGAGAAAGCATTAAATGATATGGATTCTGATGATGAATATGATATCCAAATTCTTAAAAAAGCAAAAAAGATAAAATCCAGTAAAAAAATTAATAAAATTACGGATGAAATAGTTCCATTATATAATAAAGCAGAGGATCAAAATAATTGCAAGGATGATTCTGGAGATGATTCTGAAATTGTGGTAATTATGACAATTTGAAAAATAAATAGATATGAAACTTTTCAGTTTAATTTTATAATTTGATCCATATTATTTTAAATTTAATTATATTGTCATCATAGTTATTTTTACTATTATAGCCTTTATCAAAACGTCTAAATAAAACGCGACGGAGAAAGCCAGCTGTAAATAAAACAAAACGAAAGATTAAGTTGGATGATTCGGAAACCACTTCTGAAACTGAGGTAATAAAATTTGTGTATTTAATCAATAAAATACAAAATAATTTATTTTTTAATTCAGATGAGAATTATACATAATTAAACATAAAAAAGATATTTAATATTTTTTAATATGTCATTAGGTTGTATCAAAAGGAACAAAGTCAAGACCTGCTACTACCTTTAGGGATAAAGTAACTACGAATAGATTGCATTCAAATAAAGCAATATCCAAAGTTGATACTGAAATTGAATCTGATGAAGATATATTTGATACTTAGTCTCATGGACAATATTATAATTGTGATATTTATACTACAAAAAATATCTGTAATTATGTATCTTGCATTTTATTATATATATTTTTGTACATCGTCTTTTATGCTATACTTGACATTAATCACAGCATTATTTACTACAGGTTGATCATGTTACAAGATTAATTCAAATTTCTCTTGTGTAAATATATGAGTAACTTTCAAATATGAATACAGTTTAAGTTAAACTTGTTATTGGAACAATTATAAAAATTTACTATTTTGATATAATAAAATATTGAATCCATATTTTTGAATAATATGTTGAGTAATATGTTGAGAAAGTATGTGTATAGGACTTCGATAAATTTTTGAGTTATAGTTTGTGTTCACATAAATTATAATTTGTGTTTGCAAAACTGTTTTGATTTATTGAGCTATTTATTGAAGTAAAAAATGTAGAAATGTTTCTATTTTCAGAAAGATAAAAAATAATTTTATTATTAAAATGAATATAGTATTATCGTCAACAGCGTGGAGGCGATGCGATGCGCATGCGCTCAACGCTGATTGGAGCTGACCGAAGCCGACCGAGCGTGCACAGAGAGACTGAGAGATGTCGTAGCTCGCTTTATCCCTGGAAGTGATACTCCCTCTATGAACATTAACAACAAAATATGAACTACAAAACAATTGTCCACGAAAGTTCTCAGAGGATAACATATATGTCCCTCTGATAATATAAATAATATAAATAAAAATATAAATAATTTAATTAATAATAATTTATTATATAAAAATATTAATATGTTCTCTCTTTTCCTTGCTATTATTTATATTATATATTTATATTATATATTTATATTATATGTATAAATATTACATTTAAGTGTGAGTCCAAGAAGCAAATTTCGGATATTCACTGTAAGTCAGCCGCTCTTCGGGCGATCGGGACGAGATTTAAACGGTAGTGCCGCGAAATGGTGTAGAATTTTAGGCAAAAAGAACGAAATCGCGTCTGGAAGTCGAGATATAAATTCGCTGTTTTTCGTCTGCGCGCGGACGGTCGAAATCGTGCACGACGCCGCGCATGTTGCCTGCCTATCTCGCGCGATATTCACTGTAACGCGGCGAGTAAAATGGCAAACCGAATGTAATCGTTCGATTAATTGATTAAATACTTATATATACCGAACGAAAAGATGAATCGGAATGCAATCGTTCGATTAATTAATTAAATATAGATACTACGATCGCGGCGAAGCGGTGGGCGGGTCGCTCTCCGAAACATGATGGTGGTTTGCGATATATCGCGATTGTTCCGTGATACATTAATCGTTCATAATTAATTAATTTAAAATAAAATATACTTCTATTTAAAATGTCGCGTGTATATATAGTACGCAAAATATTTCGGCAGAGAATTATCAAATAATATCATATGTTTGGCCTTGACGACGTATAGAAAGCGGCTATACATGTCATAGCTTTGCCATCATTCACACGGTGACACTCGAATATAGAAAAATATTTAACAACATGATAATTAAGTAAAGAGCATTAAGAGCCCACAAACCAATTCGTTTCTTATAATTTATATTATCAGGAGAATATATTTTGCGAGGAGGTCGATGATGCGTTGATGAACTCTTTACAAATCATGTTCTCCTAATAACGCAAACGTGAAAATTTTCGAAAATTTGTTTCTTATAATTTATATTATCAGAAGAATATATTTTGCGAGGAGGTCGATGATGCGTTGATGATCTCTTTACAAATCATGTTCTCCTAATAACGCAAGCGCGAAAATTTTCGAAAATTCGTTTCTTATTATTTTATATTATCAGGAGAATATATTGTGCGAGGAAGTCGATGATGCGTTGATGACCTCTTTACAAATCATGTTCTCCTAATAACGCAAGCGCGAAAATTTTCGAAAATTCGTTTCTTATAATTTATATTATCAGGAGAATATATTGTGCGAGGAGGTCGATGATGCGTTGATGACCTCTTTACAAATCATGTTCTCCTAATAACGCAAACGCGAAAATTTTCGAAAATTCGTTTCTTATAATTTAAATGATCAGGAGAATATATTGTGCGAAGAGGTCGATGATGCGTTGATGACCTCTTTACAAATCATGTTCTCCTAATAACGCAAACGTGAAAATTTTCGAAAATTCGTTTCTTATAATTTATATTATCAGGAGAATATATTTTGCGAGGAGGTCGATGATGCGTTGATGACCTCTTTACAAATCATGTTCTCCTAATAACGCAAACGTGAAAATTTTCGAAAATTCGTTTCTTATAATTTATATTATCAGGAGAATATATTTTGCGAGGAGGTCGATGATGTGTTCATGACCTCTTTACAAATCATGTTCTCCTAATAACGCAAACGTGAAAATTTTCGAAAATTCGTTTCTTATAATTTATATTATCAGGAGAATATATTTTGCGAAAAGGTCGATGATGCGTTGATGACCTCTTTACAAATCATGTTCTCCTAATAACGCAATCGTGAAAATTTTCGAAAATTCGTTTCTTATTATTTTATATTATCAGGAGAATATATTTTGCGAGGAGGTCGATGATGCGTTGATGACCTCTTTACAAATCATGTTCTCCTAATAACGCAAGCGTGAAAATTATCGAAAATTAGTTTCTTATTATTTTATATTATCAGGAGAATATATTTTGCGAGGAGGTCGATGATGCGTTGATGATCTCTTTACAAATCATGTTCTCCTAATAACGCAAACGTGAAAATTTTCGAAAATTCGTTTCTTATAATTTATATTATCAGGAGAATATATTTTGCGAGGAGGTCGATGATGTGTTGATGATCTCTTTACAAATCATGTTCTCCTAATAACGCAAGCGTGAAAATTTTCGAAAATTCGTTTCTTATTATTTTATATTATCAGGAGAATATATTTTGCGAGGAGGTCGATGATGCGTTGATGACCTCTTTACAAATCATGTTCTCCTAATAATGCAAGCGCGAAAATTTTCGAAAATTCGTTTCTTATAATTTATATTATCAGGAGAATATATTGTGCGAGGAGGTCGATGATGCGTTGATAACCTCTTTACAAATCATGTTCTCCTAATAACGCAAACGTGAAAATTTTCGAAAATTCGTTTCTTATAATTTATATTATCAGGAGAATATATTGTGCGAAGAGGTCGATGATGCGTTGATGACCTCTTTACAAATCATGTTTTCCTAATAACGCAAACGTGAAAATTTTCGAAAATTCGTTTCTTATAATTTATATTATCAGGAGAATATATTTTGCGAGGAGGTCGATGATGCGTTGATGACCTCTTTACAAATCATGTTCTCCTAATAACGCAAGCGCGAAAATTTTCGAAAATTCGTTTCTTATAATTTATATTATCAGGAGAATATATTTTGGGAGGAGGTCGATGATCCTCCGCCGTATGAACCACCTCCGAGGCGGCGGAGGCATCGTAGCTCCCAACATCCCCTCCCACAAATTATTGGTGGGGGAAGAAGACTTTGTCAGGGGGCGGGGGGCCGATAGATCGGTACCCCCTCCCCCGGCCAAGGAGTGATAGGGGGGTACTGTCTCTGGAAGCGTACGCTTTCCGCGGCAGTAAACCCCCCAAGGCGAGTAGGAGCCCTCCGGGGGCGCGGCCGAGTCCTGATCCCTAAAGGGAAAGGAGGAAGCCCGCCCCCGGAGGGACATACCAAGAAAGAGCCCTGGGGTGCTGCCCGAATCTCAACCCCTCTTGGGGAAGGGAGGGTGGCCCACCCTGGGGCTCGGGGGGCCGGGGCTCGAGCGGGAGACTCGAGCCCCGACCCCGCCCCCCGGAAAACACCGAGGAGGGCGTGGCGTGGAGGTGATGCCCCTCTGCGCCACAACTAGAGCAGAAGCCGCCATACAGGCAGAGTGGGCGGGCACTCCCCTCGGGGGGGTTCGCCCACGAGGTTAGGTCGTGTGGGTGGGGGGAGGACGTCCGGTTGACATCGCTACGGCGCATCCGGTCCACCCCCCAAACACCCGAGTAGGCAACCGGTGGAGTTTTAGTGGGTATACTGGTCCTTCAGACCAGGAATCCCACATAACCCGCCCTCCCTACCCGGGGAGTGCGGGTATCCATAAAGGATTTCTCCACCGTTATCAAAAAAAAAAAAAAAAAAAAGGAGGTCGATGATGCGTTGATGACCTCTTTACAAATCATGTTCTCCTAATAACGCAAGCGCGAAAATTTTCGAAAATTCGTTTCTTATAATTTATATTATCAGGAGAATATATTTTGCGAGGAGGTCGATGATGCGTTGATAACCTCTTTACAAATCATGTTCTCCTAATAACGCAAGCGCGAAAATTTTCGAAAATTCGTTTCTTATAATTTATATTATTAGGAGAATATATTTTGCGAGGAGGTCGATGATGCGTTGATGACCTCTTTACAAATCATGTTCTCCTAATAACGCAAGCGCGAAAATTTTCGAAAATTCCTTTCTTATAATTTATATTATCAGGAGAATATATTGTGCGAGGAGGTCGATGATGCGTTGATGACCTCTTTACAAATCATGTTCTCCTAATAACGCAAGCGCGAAAATTTTCGAAAATTCGTTTCTTATAATTTATATTATCAGGAGAATATATTTTGCGAGGAGGTCGATGATGCGTTGATAACCTCTTTACAAATCATGTTCTCCTAATAACGCAAGCGCGAAAATTTTCGAAAATTCGTTTCTTATAATTTATATTATTAGGAGAATATATTTTGCGAGGAGGTCGATGATGCGTTGATGACCTCTTTACAAATCATGTTCTCCTAATAACGCAAGCGCGAAAATTTTCGAAAATTCCTTTCTTATAATTTATATTATCAGGAGAATATATTGTGCGAGGAGGTCGATGATGCGTTGATGACCTCTTCACAAATCATGTTCTCCTAATAACGCAAGCGCGAAAATTTTCGAAAATTCGTTTCTTATAATTTATATTATCAGGAGAATATATTTTGCGAGGAGGTCGATGATGCGTTGATGACCTCTTTACAAATCATGTTCTCCTAATAACGCAAACGCGAAAATTTTCGAAAATTCGTTTCTTATAATTTATATGATCAGGAGAATATATTGTGCGAGGAGGTCGATGATGCGTTGATGACCTCTTTACAAATCATGTTCTCCTAATAACGCAAACGTGAAAATTTTCGAAAATTCGTTTCTTATAATTTATATTATCAGGAGAATATATTGTGCGA